CCTAGGAAAGATTTTGCTAGAAGCAGAAGTAACACGTACTGTCGGCTAGATACCAGCAATACAGGGCTCTCCATGTCCTTACATAATCTGGACCTTACCTCTGACCTCATCTCCTACCACTCTCAGGGCAGCAAAAACGGGAGACAGGAATGGGCGACTAAAAGGTATGGCGCTAAAGAGATCCTGAAAATGATGAGGAACCGTCAAGAAACTTACACAAAGCAGCTACACGGCTGTGGTTGCATTCTGAAAGGCGCACTCTGAGTGCAAAGTGGGAACTGGAATGGAAGCGGGTCACAAAGGAAGCAGGGAGGCTACCGAAGAGAAGAAAAGACTGTGGACGGAGCTGCCTGAAGAATCTGGGAAAAGAAAGGACCTGTTAATGGATCTGGGGTGATGGCAATGAAGCCGATGAGCTCAGCCTGGCGCAGGAGAACCCCACAGGGACTGACCAGTGGAGTCTGAGGGTCAGGGCGAGAGGGGGAAGGTGGGGTCCGGAGGACGCGAAAACCAGCTAGGGCCGAGGGCTCCCGGAGAAAGCCCTTTCAAAGCTTCTCAGCGCCCTCGCCAAACTGCCTGAGTGGCCTCCTACCCACCCCCACCTCCCCCTGCTCGCCCGCTGACCAAACGAGTTGAGAAAGTCCGCGATTTTCTTGATGCTGCTGGTGATGACTTCTATGTATTCCCGGTTCGCCCAGTCCTGGTGAATCTCCCGCTGCACCGGATCCTCTTGACCCGCCATTGCTGCCACCCGACGAGGAGCCACCGCGCAGGCGCCCCGACCCTCCAGCCGGCCAGTGCGCCTGCGCCGCCAGCCCACACCCATTCCTTGGCACCCACGAATCCATGGGCATTGTGATGCGCCTGCGCGATGTCAAGTCCTTTCGCTCTGCTCCCACGCCCCTGAAAAAAGTCGCAAAAACCCCGACGGTGAAAATGGAGTGCGCATGCGCCGAGGCACCCCTACCCACCACATAGCCCATCGCAGGCGGTTTTGGTCGTTAGGGGGCGCTTGACCACGAGACGCTCGCTGCGTCAGCTGCTCCAAACTAAGGTTGTGGTCTGCGTCAGCAATTAGTTGGGCGTAGCCAATTAAGCCACATTAAATACAACTCATTTTGAAAATGGCTTTCAACAACACATGATTCCCCACCTTGCAGTCATCAAATAAACAAAACGTTAGTATTATTTTTTAAAAGATTTTATTTATTTGACAGAGAGAGAGACAGCGAGAGAGGGAACACAGGCAGGGGGAGTGGGAGAGGGAGAGGCAGGCTTCCGGCCGGGCAGAGAGCCTTATGCGGGGCTCGATCCCAGGAGCCTGGGATCATGACCCGAGCCGAAGGCCGACACTTAACGACTGAGCCACCCGGGCACCCCTATTATTATTTTTTTTAACAATAATACCCAGTGATGGAGAGGCTGAGGGAAAATTGATAGGCCCCTAAATAGCTGGTCACACTGTAAACTGGCACAACTCCTTTAGGAAAGTTGTAAGTTGATAGCAAGAACTGTCAAAAAATTCAAACTTTTTTGACCTAATCATTTCATTGAAAAAATCGTTGAAAAAGAAAAAAAAAAAAGACACTTTAAGCACAAAGGTGCTCTTTGTAACATTATTTAAAAAACCAAAACAACTATATCTCCATAGTTGGGGATGGCTAAACAATGGTACAGCCTCCTACGGCAATATTATGCAGTTATTTAAATAGTAATTATGAACACTATGGCAACATACATGATAAACTGAAGGGGAAAACAAAATACAAAATTTTCTTTAATTGCAACTATATGAAAATTATGTCTGCTTGAGGACAAAAAGGATATATGAAAGATGCCAATGTCTGGTTTGTTAAGGTAGTGGAATTATGGACAATTTTATTTTTGTTTAAGAGAATTTTTACAATCTGCTTTGTGCAATACATGCCTTTTATTAAAAAAAAAATGTTCAACAGATTGCTTCTAGCAGTAGCTGGGAAGAAATCTTTACTAACAGTCCTTTACTCTGGTATGAGATTTTACAAGCTATAAAGCTGCTTTCATAGCTATTACCTCACTGAACCCTCACAAACCCTGTGAAAGGAAATCAGGAAGAGGCTTCTCATTTTACAGATGAGAAAACTGAAGTTCAAGGTCACACAGTCAATTAAGTGGTGGACCTTCACCAGTTGATTCCAGACTCCAATATCTTTTTACTGTACCAATCTAAAAACAGGCTAAGGCCTCTGAACTCTCCTATGTATTCATAGAAATGGTTACTAAATAAATATCAACCCTAAATATCAAACCCCAGGTATCCAGAGAACTGCCATTCAAGATCCTGCTTCCTAAGTGATGCTGTTGTAGTATCTTGCTCACACGTCACAGAGAAATCAGATAGATCTGCTTTTCCTTTAAAGGCAGGGCATCTCAGTTTCAAATCACAAATCTATCAGTGAGGAGTCACGTCACCCCTCTGAACTTTTTTTCTTCATGTGTAATACAGGAACAACAACATGGATGGATTAGGATTGTTGGAATTCTGTGAGAAAGAATAAATAGAACACTAAGCACAGTGCCTTACTCTTCACAAAGCAGGCACTCATGATCAGTTTACATTTTCTTTTTATGCAGAAAGCAGAAAATTAAGTACACATATCTATCCAACATTTTGGTTTTTATGATTAATGGCCTTCCACGAGATAAGTCAGGCTCAGCTCTTCTCCTTTTGCTGGACTTCCTATACACCTGTTCTGGGATCTCCCCTGTAATTCCAAACAACTCAAGGATATGGTGCTGTCCTTGAGTGAAGAATATTCCTCTGGACTTCTGGCACTTTTTCCTACATGCCTCAGGGAGCTTGCTGTCAGGCAGTCCTTCAGTATGGGTTTGTCAGCGTGGTAGTTCTTCACTGCAGAAACTGTTTACAATGGGTACAGAGGCAAGCCCTTTGGGAACGCTGCTGGTGCAACAAGGAGAGCTTCTGGGTGGTAGATTGCCTCAGCATAAAAGAACAAGTTCCCTGACTTTAGGTCTGTCATGTGCTTCACAGAACTTAAGGAATCTTGTCAATGACTCCACATGTAATAATCAGTGTGGAGCAAATTCTTGAAGAAATGTGTCAATTGCATTAAGCATGGTCATGTGAATCTTTTTTGCAATCATGTGCACTTAGACCATCATTTACGTAGCTAAGGATATAGCATGTGCACCATGGCAATGTTGCTAGCTGCTTTGAAAAGAACTGAATCATCTTTTGGCAGAGCAAATGTGGCTAGTGTCATGATAATCCCTGAGGACAGTGCACACAGAATGTTGAGAGCTGCATGATACAAAGTTGATGTTGTAGGTCATCAGTAACAGGTAGTACGGGAGATTCTGGTTTTCCATATCTGTGTGGTAGCCATGGAACTGGAGTATCAGAGCCAGAGGTAATAGCAAATGGTACCTCCAAAAATAGATCCCTGAGAGCTGGCAGACTGCACAGAGGACTGTGGTACAGATTGTCATAACAGCATGAAGCCCTCTCTATACAACAACTTTTAATTATACAATTTTGCTTTTGGGACTTTCATTAAAAAACCCCAACTGTGCAATAAAAACTGTTTTGTTTGCTTTTTAAATAACAGTGTCTCTTTTATTTGAGATGAAAATAAAAATAAACTTACTGGAGAACAAAGTTTTGCAATTCAAATCATTTGTGTCTTCCCAAGACTCATCACTCTGCCCCCTCTCCATTTTCTGACTTCACTTCCAAACTCTCCACTTCTCCTTCCACAGGGTGCAACACACACACACACACACCCCATCTGACAATTCTTGACAAGTCCCTCAAAACCATCTGGTCTTCCAAATCAGGATCTTTAGCCTGAGTCAGCCCCCACGGCCCCCATCTCTCCCGTTCAGCTTCACCCAACGAACCAGACAAACGGTGATAGCTCTTATGCGTGTTGTGCTCTACAGTTGGCAAAGTGCAAGGGCAATTTCTGGGTGTACAAGGTAAGGGCAGGTGGGGCCATTAGTTAATTCTTGCCACAAATACTTCACACTGCCGGACTGCGGGATAGCCAGGCACAGGGTAGATACAGTGAGTCAATTGGGTAGACCTCTCTTCCCCCAGCCTGCCAAGGAAATTGTTTGCAGTGACGCTTACGAAGTTCTCAAAACACTCTCACTATGGTGAAACGGTCAGTTTTTCAGCTTTGTTAGAAGAGGACAGCATTGTCTTTTTTGAGGTTTAATAGGCAGAAAAAAATTTTTGGTCAGTTAGTCAAGGGAAGACATGTGCCTTTCTTCTTGCTCTTGAGAAGCGAGCATTTATAAGTTGTCTCCTTGCGCTGGGATCATTCCAATGCAGCAATAAAAGCTTTGAGCCTGAATACCCCACTGAGTACAGTTTAGAGTCAAGACTAACTAAACACGGGCGCCTGGGTGGCTCAGTTGGTTAAGCAACTGCCTTCGGCTCAGGTCATGATCCTGGCGTCCCGGGATCGAGTCCCGCATCAGGGTCCCTGCTGAGCAGGGAGTCTGCTTCTCCCTCTGACCCTCCCCCCCTCTCATGTGCTCTTTCTCGCTCTCTCAAATAAATAAAAAAAATCTTTTAAAAAAAGACAAAAAAGACTAACTAAACACTAACTACAAGCTCGGGAACTTTCCTGTAGGTTCCTGACCACACCCTTCGAAGTGGGCGTGTCCGCCCGCCCTGACTAGCTCAAAACACACAGGTGTGGCGGGGTAGGGAGGAGGAGGCGGCGGAACGGTGAGGACCGGATTCGAACCCCACACTCCTGAAGGCAAAGTCCTGGACTGGACGTTCCAAGGAGGTGGGGGTGGGGAATCCGGCCCTGAAGCCTGCCAGCCGGGCGCCTCGAGCCCCACCTCCGCGGCGGCGCGGGCTCCCGCGGCGGCCCTGGGTCACAAAGGCGGTTGCCAGGCGCCGGGTGGAGAAAAGATGCGGCACGGAAACAGCAGCCGCCACTCTGGAGCTTGCGGCCCGCGGAGTTCAGCAGGTGAGCCCCCGGCCCGGATGGTGGGACCGGGCCCGGGCTCCCACCGCCACCTCCGCCTCGGCCAGAGCCGTCTGGCCCCCACCCCCGGTTAGGGACCCCCGTGGGACAAGCCCCTTCTTCCCGCTGGGAGGGGGAGCCTCCCCACTCCGGGCAGCTCCAGCCTTTCTGGATCAGGATCGCAATTCACAATTCACGAGGACCTCAGCTGCATTTGGACGCTTACTTCCCCTTTCCCAGGTGGGGAAATCGAGGGACTCGGTTCCTTGGAACGGGAGTATGAGAGGGAAGACTTTTTGGCCAGGAGTACGAGGTGTTCCCTATCTGGGAGCTATTAAAGCAGCTTGAACAGACTTCCAAGGTTCAAACCCCCTTGGAGTGGATGACAGTGATTTCCGGGTGGTGGGAGTGGAGGGGTGAATCGTCTTGATTTAAAACTTGGTGGAAGTGGCTTAAAGATCTGGGATCAGAAGCCCTCTCTCATCCCCCCCGTTGGTTCTGTCCAGTACTTAAGGTGGGACATTTGATAAAAAGCCTTTTACGTCTGGCCCTATTTGCTCTTAGGAGGGGAGCCAGGAAAAGAGTCCTGGGATTAAATAATCTTTTTGGTCATATACTGAGGAGTTAACACCCTCCACACCTCACCTTGCCATGGTGCTGTACCAGAGCAGCCCTGATCTTGGATGTATTCTCTCAGGGTGATGATATCAAGCATCAGAAGACTTTCATAGGCTGTTTGTAATAGATAACCATCCCCTCAGTGTCAATTTTTCATCCTAAAGCAGTACAGATATTTGAACACAGTATGTGAAGGAGTGTACAAAGATTAAGGAGACACATAACAGCTGAAGGAAAGCAACAAATCTCCTTTACGCGGACCACAGTCAGGGACAGGTCTTCTGGTCTGAAATGTCATCAACTCTTCTTAAAATGAACTTTACTGTCTTAAAAACTATGGTGGAGGAGTCAACTTTTCACAGCATTTCCTGGGCAATTACTGGATGGGATGGGATCAGATCTGCTGCTGTTACCTTTTGTGGGAGAAGAGAGAAGGGGCAGAGAAATATACTTGACTGGAAAGAAAAGGGAACTGCTAATGCTATGCCCCTTACCATAATAGGTAGGTGCTCAAGAAATGTTAGCTTCTTCTGAATTCAGTAAAACCTTATATTGGCAATTTTAAAGTAGGATGATGGAAAATCCAAATTCTACTTAAATATTTAGTTAGCAACATCTTCCCAGCCCTTGGCTTTTTCTTCAAAGGGGTGGGGGGAGAATCAAGATTTTAACCACTAGGTCTCCCATAACAAACCAAAAACAAAACAAAACACACATAGAAGAATTACCTTTAACCATTTTTAAGACTGTCCTTTGGAAACTTTTTTTCTTTCTAGCCTGGTGTAATTCTTCTGAGGTGGTACATAAGTAGCTCAGGGCTCTGAGAGAGCTGTTCCCCTGTCAGAAAACAGGTTTTTAGGGCCAAGAGGAGACTGTCTCCATAATTAATACTGAAAACCTTAAGTTCCTTAAAAGGGATGGCATAAGAAGTTCTCGACTCTGAGTACATCAGAATCCCCTGGAGGGTTTGTTTAAATGCAGATTGCAAGCCCTACCCCCAGTTTCTGATTCTGTAGGTGTGAGGTAGGGCCCAATGTGCATTTCTACATTTCCAGATGATGCTGAAGCTGCTAGTGCCAGGATCACACTTTGAGAACCACTGGTATAAAGTACCGGGAATTAGAGTCACAAATATTTAGTAAGACATGGCTTTTCTGAGCTTCTAACCACAAATAATGTCTCATCATGAAGTGCCAGCAGCCTCTGTCACCTCAGAGGTATAGATTCTGTCTTTAGCAGTACACAATACAGTATATGTCCTAATAGTGAACTGGGATACTCCACTTTGGACAAATCCATTTCCTCACCTGTAAAATAGATTAAAACCTACCTTCAGAGGCTTGTGATAAGATTTAATAAAGTTTTAGTACACATAGCAGTTGCCAGATTCAATACTTGTTACCATCCACTACTGCCCTTTATAGAATTACTAATATCCTTAACATCTATTGGAATCTATTAAGGAGAACTACAGAGTAAGTTAAAGTCAATAAACAAATAAATGTGAATTTAAACAGCCGTGCCCTCCCCCAAACCATGCTAGGGAAATTCCATGTTCTGATTCCTCTTCTTTAGGACTGTCAATGGCAGGATACCAGCTCTGGTCACCATGGACCCCACTGGACGAGAGCTTCCAATGGCTGCGGCACACAACACCTACACCTTCTTCAAAGCATCCCTTTAGGGCTTCCCCCTGCTTCCCACATACCCCTTCTGACCTTGAAGTGCAGCTGTGCTTTCAAGAGGTCACTCTAGTCCTAGACAGCCCATTTCTGGAGCCTGGGGTGAGTCCCAAGTTACCCTGCCACACATCAGAGTTCCGAACCATGAACAACAAGAAAGGGCTGGTCAGGAAGCCCCAGCCTGTCCGCCTCAGTGGAGTGGATTCCGTGTTTGGCAGGGTCATCACAGCTCAGCCACCAAAATGGACTGGGACCTTCAGAGTTTCAGACAAATCAGCCTTTTCCAAAATCATCAGCCGGGAGAACCAGTGGCCCACTGGACTTAAGGAACCTCAGATTCAGATGACAGTGACCATGTGCAAACAGATGCTGCGCTCTATCCTCTTACTGTATGCAACATACAAGAAGTGCACCTTTGCCTTGCAACACTCCAAGTAAAGGGTTCCCATCTGATTCCTGTTCCTAATACCATGTCCTGTGCTATGTGCCTGAAGCTTACAGAAACCTTTCCATGTAAAAGAAACTGACATCATCTGAGCCATCTTGCTTTTCTGTCAAGCAGTGACAATTCAGGAACCCCTTTCCTCCTCCCCCCCACCAAAAGCCAGTGACAGAGCAAAGGAGAACATTTCCATTGTAAAGTTGAACAACATTTAAAAGAGAGTCAAACTAGTGTTGACATGTACATGTGAGAAAGAACCATTAAACCATATAAACCAATGAGACTCGTGTGAACTCACTTAAACATCTAAGACCACAATGAGATGGGGAAACAAAGGGGTATCAAGGAAGGAGATTATGACTTTCCAAGTACATGAGGATGAAGGGGTCAAAAATCTATAGATGGGTCAAGGATTAAAAAAAATAATAAAAAACAAAACAAATAATCTCCCCTACCAAATCAACAACAAAAAAACCTTAACCAACCACATCCTAATACCACTGGAGAGGACAAAAGTGGATAGTAATATTAGCAAATATTAAAGAATATTTATAGCCTGGCAAGAAAGAACTTGGAAGCAGCAATGAAACTGGGCTTTCTGGCAGAACACATGAGAGCTCCCCATTTTAGCTGGTGTACTGTTAGTAATTCTGCAGAATCGTTATAAGTCTATAGGTATAACTCAGAATAATGTGAAATAAACATATATACAAAGTCAACATAAGTTTGATGGTGACTTTTCCCTTTTTATCTTATATCTACATGACCAAAAAATTTTTAAAAAGCAGCCAGAATTTTCCTTTTGGACTTTCTTTGGGCATTGACCAGAAATTTGTTACTCCTCCAAAAATATCACAAAGATCTTCTCATCTCAAATAAAGATGATCTTTAGGATAGGAAACATGGTTTTAATTGGTAGAACTGATGTGTTGGCACCAGTTTCCATTATTTCTCTGCACAAACCCCAACTGAATTCCATGTAATCCTTGATTTAGGAAGGAAATTCAGAAAGAGGAATGAGGTAGTTGAGGCAGAACTTAAAACAATTTATTTGTAAAACTGGTACAATCCTAAATTTCTAAGTTTCAAAACTAGCTTTCAAAGCCCAGAATCGTTGACTATTCCACAGCAAAGCACTGCCATGTTTGCCCAGACTGGCAAGTAACACTACAGTGGAATCCCGAGCCAGGGCCTTTGATGATGTTAGATGACCTGTGAAATTCACAATTAAGGTGATTCAGTAAAGCCCACCCTCCTAATGACAACACAGGATGCTTCCGGTAAGGAAGGTTAAGACTGCAGATTCCAAACCCTGAACACAAAATGTGAAGAGGCTAGCAGAGATGGAGAAGGGGCATCCGTCTCTCTGTGGTCTAATCGGAGTCATCATCACTCTCATCACTATCTTGCTCCTTTTCTCCATCACTTACTTCAACTTCTTCACCATCCTAAGGGGCAAAGGATAATTAGATATTTTAGGTCATCTAGGTGACCCCATGAATTACAATACTGCCCCCATAGGATTTATAACTGTACTGTATCATTGTTAAAATCAGTGATAGGTGTTAAGCCATTCATTTGAAAAAGGAATTGAAGCTCCCCCATTTTTCTTGTATCATGACCATGGAGGTAGGCCACTGTGATACTGACGTATGACATTCCACAACTGAACCAAATTCACATGACTTTTAAATAAGCCATGGTCTTCTACCTCTACTGCATGTGTGTGACACAGAATAAAGCAGGCACTCAATACAGAATGAAATGTTTGCTAAATTAAGAATTCTGGTGTATCTCCAATAGCCAAACTGTGGAAAGAGCCAAGATGTCCATCAACAGATGAATGGATAAAGAAGATGTGGTATATATACACAATGGAATATTATGCAGCCATCAAAAGGAATGAGATCTTGCCATTTGCAACAACGTGGATGGAACCGGAGGGTGTTATGCTGAGTGAAAGAAGTCAATCAGGGAAAGACATGTATCATATGACCTCACTGATATGAGGAATTCTTAATCTCAGGAAACAACTGAGTGTTGCTGGAGTGGTGGGGGGTGGGAGGGATGGGGTGGCTGGGTGATAGACAGTGGGTAGGGTATGTGCTATGGTGCGCGCTGTGAATTGTGCAAGACTGTTGAATCACAGATCTGTACCTCTGAAACAAATAATGCAACATATGTTAAGAAAAAAGAAAAAGAAGAAGATAGCAGGAGGGGAAGAATGAAGGGGGAGTAAGTCAGGGGGGGAGATGAATCATGAGAGACGATGGACTCTGAAAAACAAACTGAGGGTTCTAGAGGGGAGGGGGGTGGGGGGATGGGTTAGCCTGGTGATGGGTATTAAAGAGGGCACATTCTGTGTGGAGCACTGGGTGTTATGCACAAACAATGAATCATGGAACACTACATCAAAAACTAATGATGTAATGTATGGTGATTAACATATCAATAAAAAATGAAAAAAAAAAACAAGTAGAAAAAAAAGAATTCTGGTGTATCTCAATAGGAATTCAGCATAAAATTCTTTGGTCTGTAACTCTAATCTGGGAGGTTTGCTTAGGAGAAAGTACCAACTAATACCTATCTCAATAGGAATCCAGCATAAAATTCTTTGGTCTGTAACTAATCTGGGAGGTTTGCTTAGGAGAAAGTACCAACTAATACCTATCTCAATAGGAATCCAGCATAAAATTCTTTGGTCTGTAACTAATCTGGGAGGTTTGCTTAGGAGAAAGTACCAAAGTATCGTCTGCTTCAAAATTTTTTTATGAGAACAAGGTAGAGGTATACTATACAAATCATAAAAGTATTTTTCATGCTAAATGATCTTTCTGCATTAGCCTCAGATTGCATTATAGAGAGGCTTCACAGCAGGGGTTCTTAAATCTGAGCTTCTTGGTATCTAAAACCCACCCGAATTTTAACAAAATTTTATAAACATACACATTTTTCTTCAGCTTTCTTTAAAGTCCTAAAAGTGGCCCAGAAAAGAATAAGGACCCCTACTCTTAGTATAGTCCTCAGTGATTGCAGCTTTTGATTCTGTGCTTTAGCTTTCACCTAATGCGTTCATATTTCTATTTTATATATTCAAACATATTTAAATGTTTTAACTCATTCTTCTCAGCACTCAGAGGACACTTGACCTTTTCTCCCCTCTAAAATGGTTTCAGATACAAATTTAATCCAAATAATGAAAAGGAATTTTTAACTCTATAACATATGCCACAACTTGAGATACTCTTCTGGCCCCCACAGAACTCATATAAAAACAAAAACTTTTCTGGAGAGAATGGAGATGGGCATAGAAATCTTTGATTATAAACATAAGCAGGGAGGGGGTGCCTAGCTGGCTCAGTTGGAAGAGCACACAACTCTTGATCTTGGGGTCGTGAGTTCAAGCCCCAGATTGGATATAGAGATAACTAAAATAAATAAAGAAACTTAAAAAAACAACCCATAAGCAATAAAAGTTCTATACTTTCTACTGACTCAGAATAATTAACAAAATACAACAATCAACTGCACACTTGGGCCTTATGCAAAGATACCTCCGTTGCTTTGCTCTTGGAAACCTGGGATGCTGTATCATCCTCACTCTCCTCGGAGTTCTGGGACTTAATCTCTTCACCCTAAATGTGAATGGGCCAAGACAAATGGTGGGTTATAATTATCATATTTGGGGTTTCAAAGGGAGAAAGGCTGTTTAAAGGCAACAGAAAAGATAATATTCTAGGCATTCAAACATGGTCAAACACAGACATCAACCTGTGATCTAGTATCTAGAGAAGTGATAATCAATCCAAGGTTTCTGAGATATGTGTGGCTCTAATATAATATGTAGTTTTACAAAAAGCCCATTGCTGTATTCTAATATCATACTAGATTTTACAAGGCCAGGATGTATTGGTAAATATTGTTCTGAAAATGTTGAATATTGTTCTGAAATTTCCCCAAGACCTTAAAGTATATGACCACTGACATACCAATTACAAATGGCCATGTTGAGGCTGAAAGACTTTATACAAAGTGGTTTAAGAACATCAGCTTTGCATCCTTTCTCTTTGGACTCAAACCCTGGCACCTCTCACTTATTGCTGAATGACTTTAGGTAAGTTACTTAACCTCTCCAAGCTTCACTTTTCTCATGGAAACAATAGTATTGTTTTATTATAGTATTTTGTTTAATAGTATCATGGAAATAATAGTACCTCATAGAGCAAATGTGAAGAAAGGAAACAAAGTCTCCGGGGTGCTATTCTTTTCATATATAAGATTATAAACCCCTGAGCTATTGTAAACATGAATGAGAAGGACTTGGATCCTATATGAAAATTGCTAAAACTCCAAAGCAGTACTATAAGCCACACAAGATTTCAGCCAGACAGTTCAAAGACCTTAGAAATGTTTATTTGTTAAAATTAGGCAGAGAACAATAAAAAATTAAAAAAAAAATTACAAGGCTAAAAAAAAAAATTAGGCAGAGAATAATTTCAGGAATAAGACAGAGTGGTTTAGAAAAAGACCCAAAATAATTTAAAAAGTTTGTCCACATAAACGAATGTTATTATGAATCTACCCCTGGTAGTACTTACAGGAGCCCACTCTGGCTTAGGAGAGAGGTTTTATTGATCTGGCTCTTCTATCTCTGCAGCCTTGTTATCAGTGGTATGTTTTGGTGCCTTTGCTGGCTAGGATGAGGGGTGGAACCCATGACTGAGACCAGAAGCAATGTGTCCTAACTTTAAGAGGTAAATGGCCACAGCCTTAAGAGAAAGGCAGTCTTATAGAGAGAACAAGGCTTAGTTGACCTCCTTGACACACCTTCTAATGCTCTTACAAAGAGTGGGAATAGATTATCTTGGGCTGGGCCCTAGGCTTACCTGCAAGTCCCGGTTTTTGAGGTTGCCCAGCCAGAAAGCCTCCCTGCAATTATTGAAGATAAGCATGGCTTTCACTCTGCAAACTAAAAGCTCCAGGGTCTTTTTGAGCAAAGGCACATGTTTGGTGAGTCTTGTGTCCTGGTGAATCTAAATGGAAACAAAAGCAACCAACTCATCTTTTTGATTTATCATGCTTTCACATTCCTATACAGAAAACTTTTGAATTTCTGACATCTTGAACACTGAATAAGAGCATAAGTCCTCCCAGTATAGGTCAGAGACATGTTCCATTAAACAGTAGTTTGGCAGAGTACTCTGAAGAGAATGGCAGCTCCCCTTCAAGGTAAAAGAGCCTAGAAGACATACCACCAACACCTTAGGTTCTTCTTCATAACCTCTTATTGACCAATTATCAATGAATTTACCTAAAATGTTCTTGAACATGTATTATACTGATATTAAACAACAGAGTATCCCTATTTAGCTAGGTGTCCCTGAAACTCCATTGTTCAACAAATTCTAAAAGTTA